CACTTAACCCTTGCTTATTTAAACGAAGTTCCTAGTCAGCCAATGATCGATATCACTTATGTGTATGAGATTAAAACTAAAAAAAGAAAAGGGCTTAGAGAGACCTATGTTGTTTTTCTATCAGTGACATCCGCATATATTTTTTAAAATTTTTCATTGTAGAGGATTTTATATGAGATGAGAGTGAGTTATATATCTTCGGGACGTAATAGCTAAAAGATCTTTTAAATAAAGTTGTTTTATAAATTGGGATTTAGATGAACATTCTACTTCTTGTATTTAAATTATGAATATTAGTTCTAAATTTGATTCTATCATGGAGATACCCAGGAGTTTTGTTACAAATGATTCTATGGATAAAACAAGCTGTATGATAATTTCTCAAATTAGACATATTTAACCATTTAATGTCATTTAGTTTGTGTGATATTCGGTGAAATTTTCTTATTCCAAATATAAGTTGTAGGCAAGAATTCTGCATACGCTGGATTCTTCCACTGTCTACCGCATCCAAACATGGGCCGTATATATTATCACAATAACTAAATTGTGATAGTACTAATGACTCACAAAGCATGATTTTCAAACTGCGATTTAATATTAGTCTATTGTTATACAGAGTTTTTAAATTTAAGTAGGCTTTGCGAAGAAGTTCCGAGACATGCTTCTTAAATCTTAAATCAGTGTCCAATATTAATCCCAGGTTTTTAGCGTTATCGACAAGCGGTAGGGGCGTATCTTTAATCTTTATTTTTATTTCAGGAATTATAAGTTTGCGAATTTTTGCTCTACCAAATAACATCACGTAACATTTTTGTGCATTAATTTTCAGCCCATGTCTTTCTGATATTTCCACCAAGTCCTGCACATCTTCATTAATTAACGTTTGTTCTTTTTATAATGTGGTTTTGTTTGTGTGATAATCGGCCTTACCTTGAATACTGTTTGTATTGTCACCTACCTACACTTTCTTGTATTGAATTAACCATAGCCGATGCCGGAGTAGAGCAATGCCCATGTTAATATTGTTTAGGTACATGCAATTTTTCATATCATGAGCTTTTTACCTAAATTCAACCGTAAATGTATTCGATCTGTTTTTGAATTTAAATTTAACTGCACTTGACTCGATTCTATGATTTTTATTGTAAAAGTTCAGATGTTTGATTTACGATTTTTTTGCATTTTGTTGTCGTAAGTAGTTGATTTACTTCTTGTATATGTGTGTTGGGCCAGGCTTTTCCGTGTTGGGTTTTCTCCTGATTTTTCGTAGGTACGTAATATATTTAATTGGTTCTTATCGCTTTCTTATCCACACAACCTTGTGCTTTACGTCCCAACACACAAAAGTTATTTTAGGGGGTGATGGTACGTCAAAATAAGAAAAAAATGCAAATGTATCACTGGTCTAAAGGACAACATTTTCGTTATACAGGGTGACAAAGTTTCATTATTTCTCGTATTTTGCGTTTTCTCTCTAATGTTCTGTAATAATTGTTTCAAATTTGATACATATTAATTATTTTTTATAATCTCTACAATAAAGTATCAAAATAGTTGGTGGCAATGTACAGGGTGTTACATTTTACAAGTCAAAGTTGAAGTTCTGCTGGTATTTCGGCTAAAGGAAATGGAAAAGTTCCTTGACCAATTTCTGCGAAACAAGGTTTTACCGAGCCAACCGCTTCATCAACAGCATATATGCATATCTAAAATCCAAATCGATTACGACACATTTTAACCAGCAAACTTGAAAATATGTTTTTGTCACTCTTAAGTGGGTTTGTGCGCGTTTGCAAACATAGATGGTGCTTTCGACAATTCTTTAATCAAAGGTACATATACCATTGTATTTATTCGTTTACAAATACAATGGGTATACCTAGGTGAAGTCGTAGGACTACATCAAAGGACTGAATCAAGTTCATGTTGAAAAGGTGGTGCAGTTCGCCAGACCAAGGTCACCGACTGTAAAGACTTCTGGATAGTTCAAAACAAAAAGCCCAAGTGCCGTATCTCTGAATCTCTGGTAAAACCTCTCGTCTTTTAAGCTGAGGTTTGTGCCATAAATCTTGGCACCTGAAGCAGCTGGCAATTAAAAACCATGTTGCTTATAGTGGATTCTAGGACTTTCGAATATTGCAGGCAACATAAAAGCAGTTGACAATCTGGCACAACTGGTGCTAATAAGTGACCCATAGAACCTTATCTTATACCTAGACAAAGAAGCCACATAAATCAAAGTATAAATCAATGGGAAGAGACAAAGCAGTCTCCCACTGTAAAATGTAAACTGGCCTGAGGCAAGCTGGGCTTGACTGCAAGAAGGCCAAGGAGCTTACAACCCTCAACAAGTTATGTGGCTCATTACACCTCACCTTCCGTTATCATCTGCTTTAAAGATCGGTATATGACGATGGATGTTGACCTTAGCCTTTGTTCGATCCTTTGACTCCGTATGAGTTATGGTCACGCTCAAAATAGGAAATGATCCTCCTCGATAAATATATGTAAGTACAATACCTACGACAATCTAACGAAAATTGATTTAAAAAAAGTTAAACCGTTTTCCCGCTAATGCGGACCAGTGGTCGAACCAGAACGACATCGACATGACGAAATGGTAAGGTTAATTTCCTGCGCATAACTAACCTAATAAAGGTTTTAATGACGTTTCTTATTTAATGATTTTACATTTTTACATAATACCTACTATGTTTATGTTTGCTAACTAACATATGGTTCCCTTTAACTTGTGTTAAAATTTTCAATGTCTATATACTTCCATATCCTACACTATGTCCATCCAAGATATCCGTATCTTTATCATGGGGATCACAGAAACCATAGGACAGAGCTGGCCAAACCGTCGATCGCGATCTACCGGTCGATCGCGGCGATCTGCCGAGTCGATCATCTCATCATCTTACGCTTAATTAAAAACGAGTGCGCCCAAGCGACCAAAACCCTACCATTTTGGAGTAGGAAGAAGACTTTTTTTTTACCACCCACACGTTAGTAAGTACCTATTGCATTGGGGTAAAAAGTGACCCCCCACTTTTTGACGGAAACACACGTTTTGGGGCACCAGGAATCCGAATCAAACAAAATCTCGATAATGTTGGTCTGTCTGTGTCGGTCCGTCTGTACTCTCATTTCCGGCTAAACGGCTGAACCGATTGGGACCAAATTTGGTACACTTGTTCTTAGATATAAAAGGGCAGAACCGCGCATACGCAGGTGTGCGGGTGGTATAGCAAATTTTTTACAATGTTTAAGGATACATTGGTGTGCTTCGTCTTCTTCTTCCTCTTCCAGATTTTGTTTGATTCGCATTTCTGGTGCTTCAAAGCGAGTATTTCCATCAAAACAATGGGGAAGGGGGCATTTACTAATGTGCGGGTGGTAAAAAGGTAGGTAATCTGAAGACATTTTTTGAGTGTACATAAAAAATATGCAACTTTCCATCACAATCAGAAATAAGTGCCCACCAACATCAGAAATGCGACGGACTAAAGTAAAATGAAAACTCAATTACACATCATCCTAACAACAAAAACCTTTTTCATAGTAGAAGTAGCTGGTAGATCGCGAAGGATCTTATTTGTGCAGAGTAGATCAAACGATACAAAGGTTTGGGCACCTCTGCCATAGGAGATACGAAGATGGTCAAATTGGACAAAAGTTGCGCATTTAAACTATTATTATCGTGCGAGAAAACCAAAGAATTCCGATTATATCCGAACATATTCCAGAAAAACCGACATTTACCGATTTGGTTTATATTTTTTCTGGAGTTATCTGATCAGATAAAAAAATAAAAACCACTTTCTAATTGCCACTTTTTGCACTCAACAACACACCGTTGAGAGATTTTCAATACAACGTATTCTCGCACGATTAAGGTCTTGTGCGCCGAGTGCACCACCCTGTTGAAACCAACAGTTTCCAACTTTTGTTTTTTGTGGGTTCCGTGTATAGAATTTGTAAGAAAAATGCTACTCAATACAGTGTATACTTTTTTTACGGGCCATATAAAAAATAAAGTTGATGATTTCTCCGAAATGAAACGTTGTATTGAAAATTTGGTATCTTGTAGAGCTCAAAAAGTGGCAATGAGAAAGTGGTTTTTATTGTCTTGTATCTGTTCAAATAACATCAGAAAAAAATAAAAAAGACATTGGAGATTCTGGTTTTTCTGGCATATCTTTGGAATAAGTTATTGGAATTTTCTGGTTTTCTTTAAACCATGACTGGTAGGTAACTCTTTTCTCTGATGTGACTATTTCCATGATAGACATCCTTAACTTGAGCACAATGTAGGTATATAATGAAAAATCGAGTCAATAAAAAATCTGAAAAAATTCAGGGTAATATCATACACCTGTTTCTTAATATGGAGTAAATGGATACGAAAAAAAGGTATTGTATGACTGGTGTGGTAAAAATGAGTCTGTATGACACCTCAGGCCAACATATCAGGATTTGAGATTCAAAAGTATCTTCAATATTAAAATTGAATGTATCTTTGTCTCCCATCCCCCTGACTAGCCTACAATTTAGGTATTATAAAAAATTGTTATTGCTATGATACACATGTTCCTAAATAAAGTATTGAAGTTTCAACCCATATAAACTGTAAAGCTGTATCTGAATATTAATATTAAAATTTGGAAGCTATGACTCTTTTATAAACAATACTAGACAGTGGAATTTAAATGGAACACAATACAGAGGTTCCCTACTGTATAAAAAACACACCAGATTCACTTACTCTGGAACAGGTGATATACACTAGTTCATAGTTAAAAAGCAAGATATTTTTATAGAATCCTTCAACTCCCAAAATTGTCACCAATAAGACAATAGGCGTGTTTGATGTGTTAATTAAATGGACTTGACTAACTAAAGCCACAGCAGCACACACAAGTATGTAGAACAGTGGTAGTTTACTTCTGGAGTCCTGGAGAATGAAGCACGTCAGAATTGTTAAACGTGTGTTCGTCTTTGAATTTCTTTTTATCACCTCTTTAGCACCTTAATTTTTTAAACATTCCGCTTTAGTATCTGACAAAAGTAAACTACCACAGCCCTACTTTTAATTCATATAGAATAGATTTCGTTAGTAAATTCTAATAAAAAATGCTTAAACTACTACATAAAATACTCGTATATTAAATTTCTAATCACACAAATTTTGAAGCAATTCCAAGTAATTTTGTATAATCAGTACCCTTAGCATAAGTTTTTTCTTTTAAAATTGTTCTTAACACTGTCGGTATTGGAACGTGAATTCTTGTTCCTAAAGGAGTTCCACCATCGTCAATTAAAACTAGGTTGTTACTATCAAATTTCGGAACTTTCGTTTTTTGATTTTGCTTTAAACCAACCAAGACGCCCTTCTTCTTTTCGCCTTTGATGGCTACTAACACTTTATCCCCTAGAAAATTACATAGATTGTTAATTGATCTTGGTGAACAACTAACGTACCCAATCTACCAACACCCGTCTTGTTATAAACGTGTATGCACTTAGGTGGTCTGCCCTCGGCCATTGCTCTTTTCCCAATTTCGCTGTTATCGACAACTCTTAAACGAGTCTGCTTCTGAATTTCATTCTGGACGTTTGACGTGTGAATATTTCTATTCAGGCGGTTGATAACTGGAAAAAATGATCTCGTATTGATCATTATAGAACTTGATTCACAAAACTTGACTTATTTTTTGGTTAGATAATTTCTAGGTTATCTTTGTTTATTTTTTATGTAAAGTGACATAATTTATACACATTCAGCATTATTCATACAACGATGCAATAATGCTTTAATACAGGGTTGTGCCACTTTATTTTCAACATTCCGCATTTTCAAAATTAAAACAAAAAATTATTATCAAAAGCATATATTAACAATTAATATAAGTAGAACGATCCGGTGACCGGGCATTAGGTTGCCAGACATTAGGACGCGGACATTAGGACGTAGACATTAGCACGCAGACATTAGGACGCACAAATTAGGGCGCAGACATTGGAACGCGGACATTGGGACGCAGACACTGAGAGGCGGAGAATGGAGATTAGGTTAGGACACAGATCCTAGGCTAGGACGATACGATAGGGCGCATACACAGATGAAATAAGTGCAATTACATTGGTTTAATTTAATTATACCTTTTATTGTCCTACCTGCGACCTAATCTCTGCTTTGTAAGGTGGCCTACATGATTCACGCGTTCTAATGTCCGCATCCCAATGTCCGCGTCTCAATGTCCACGTCCTAATGTTTGTGTCCTAATGTCCACGGTCTAATGCCTGTGGTCTATTCCATTTGCGGTCTACTGTCTTGCGGTCCAATGTCCGCGTCCTAGTGTCTGCATCCTAATGTTGTCTTACGTCCCAACGTCACAGCGCCAAACATCTCAGGCCAAATGGTTAATAATATGCTCATATTTATTCCTCTTCCTTTCGGCACCAATTGAAGCGGCTCTTGATAAGTTGCGGCTCTTGCGTCATACGTTGCGTCCCTTTTCTCTAGGAAGTTAACGTAGCACCGTCCGGCCACTTACCGTCATTACTCAAAAGCCACCAAAGTGGCTCTAAATGAACATGAGCTTTAGATGATGCAGTAACAATCTTGTTGATTAGCGAAAATGACTTCCTGCACTTTTCTTAAAATGCAGCCCATGCCATGATAGGCGCCAATTAGATGCACCGCACATACAAGTGTGTTCACGGCATCCCAGTCTTAGTGACTATTTGGAAAGCATTCTTGGCAGCAAGATTTCGAGGGTTTTAGCGTGGGTAAAAGTTTACCTAAGGAATTCTCAGGTCTACGATTTTGAAGAGTTTATGTCCAATCCGACTTAAAGTCGACAAAACTATAGATATGACACACCAAGGTTTCTGTTAATCATAAACCAGGTATTCAAGTCGGACTTTCGGTTCATCACAGGGGGCGATGAATCGCAAAACGAAATAACAAAGGCCCACTGGTATCTTCTTGTATTCCAACTCCCGTCACCAAACATTACTCCGAACGGTAAGCCAAACCAAAGAATAGGTGGATCCAATAATGGTACTAAAGTTATAATAGTCAAGATCTCTCTGCAACAGCGGCGATTTTAATAAAAACTTTTTCAGAATCCAACGACGAAGCTATAAATGATCTAATGCGATGCACGATAGCCTCGCATCATCCTTTGGAAGCGAAGCCCATAATTGCGGTCGATCGCCCATTTCCTTATAAACAGATAAAACGACACACTAGTTTAGGTTCCAACAGCTATATGGGCGTATTCCACCATCTTTCTTAATTAAATCAGCTAGCTATATGAGTCGCCCGGTCGGACATCTTCGTAAACATGCCATTTGGTTCATGGCCTTGGAAGACAAGTTCAACGTCTTCCGATGGGACGTACGATTCGTATACTGAGAAAAATTGTCATCAATATTTATCCCGTATCGCACTCACGCTAAAAACTCCTCCACATTTCTGCTTCGACGCTCAAGTCCACGCCATCACGATGGAAATACACCCCTTTACTTCACAACATTCATTCCCATAGAGACCCGTTTTCCTTCCAAATGCTGGAAGAACGTGCCTCCGCGTTTTCATAAGTAACAGCATTGACGTGGCCCTTTAACGTGCTACCGTTACAGTATTTATCGATTGGTTAAAAACTTCAAACGCGATATATCAAGAACGGACCACCGCATAGAGAAGGTGATGATCTCGATTTATAGACGTTTATTACAATTGAAATCCTTTGTTTTAAATTAGCTAGTTTCAGTTTTAGGTTTGTGTTTCGCTACTTCTGGAAAGCAACGCGATGGTTTCGTTTCGATCTACTTGTTTAAAGCAAATGTTCGATTTATTACTAAACTGGCGGCTTAACTGCTGAAATCGAATAAAAGAAGCTCATTGTAGAGCAGTTATAAGGACAAAAGTAGTTTGACAGCCAGGCCCTAAGAGATGGACTCATCGGACATTTTAGATGGTGCAAGGAACCTTTTGCTATATTATGCTCATTTATCTCGTTTCTTAAAATGGTCGAGGCAATACGTACAGCAAGACTAAATATGCTTTCCAAGGTTGGAAAATATGAAGATCTTTATTGAATCGGCGGTAGATTTGGATGCCTTACGAAACGTTTATTTACAGTTAGTGATGCAACAGACTTCTACTTCCGCTTGAAAGACTATCTGTCGCTTTCATAATTGGGCCATAATAAATTTTTTGGTACTTGAACTATAGGCGCGACACATAATTATTAAGATTCTTGACTAACAAATTAGGAATTAATGTCAATACGGTCCCATGGTTAACATCAAATTCCGAGCATTTCATAGACATACAGCCGAGCAGAACCAAAGGGGCCTTAGGCCATTTCCCAAATTTCACAGAAATGGTGTCTTTATTTTTTATGTAATATGTAATTGTTTAGAAGATATAAGAGTTATATTATTGTTATTAAAAAATAATGACTTTCATTGCAAAAGATGTTTTCATCACATATAACCATGACCTTTTTAACCATTAATCGAAGATTCACTTTTAAACTACTATTAACATTTCCCTGCATTTCTAGAAATTATCCAGTAACGCAGGTGCGTAGCCAGATTTATTTATTTATTTATTGTGCCTCTCTGTTCTGGGCCCTCAACAGGCTTGCGCCCAATTACACTTAGAGAAGGAAAGAATGTTCATAGTCTAAGCAATTACAGAGTGACCCGCATAATGTCTCTGCAGAAGGTCTTAAGTTGGTAGATTGATTTACAAGAGCGGACCAATAAATATACAGAGCGGGCGCGCGAAATAATGATTTGCTGTGTACCGTGGAAAAATCACCCCCTGTAAAAAATGGTTTTTTGTTGGAAAATACAGTTCGCAAAATTTGATAGCATACGCAAATAAAAAAATATGCACATTTTCAAAAGCTCTTCAGCAGTTCATTTTTCGCCTACGAACACGTGTGCCAACTTTAGTTGCTTTCGGTTCAGTGGTTTAGCAGAAAATGAATGCACAGACTGGAAGACCGACGATCATTGAGATCTGGGTTTCTAGAGATCCCAAACGCACATATCCTTCTTAAAAGTGAGAGTCATTTACAGGCCTCTATAGGTACTACGGGTTGCAAGTGTAAAATTTTTTTTATTTTTTATTTTACTAGGTATAAGAACCTTTTTAATATTTTTTTGAATTTCTTGAATCACTTGAATCTCTTTTTTAATATCATCCCTATAGTGTGGTATAGTTTTGAAAAGAGAGGTTAGTATTCTGTCTGTTTAGATTAAAATATACAGGATGTTGCATTAAATAAAATGAGTTAGGTCCGATAACTTTTTTCTTGACCTTGTAAACTTACTTTGAAAATGGTAGATTATGAAACATTATTTGTAATAAGCACATTTCCGATATCTTAATAAACAAAGAAACTTTAGGCTTTTATCTAAAAATCAAAAAATGCAACTTTTGCACTCAAACACAAACGACTCTAGACCAGTTTGGATTTTAACATCGAGTTTATCTCAAAAAAATACATCAAGTCTGTGAGGTCAATTTATTTCTATTACTTATAGTTTGAGGTAGGTACTCCAAACTAACGACCAAATTTGGCCACCCTATACAGAGCAAATAATCTATACATAAACGTTAAATTGTCCAATTTTAATAGGTGACATAATTCCGAATACCAAGCACCTTGCTTTCTATTTGATCAGGCTACATTGCAATTTTCAAGAGCGGGCAAAGCGGGTTCCAAGAGTGGACTTTGCTCGCTCTTGCACCCCTCTGACTACGGCCCTGCAGTAACGTCAATATAAACGGGTTTGTTTTTATCACCATTTATACAATAACATCTTCACTAAATCTTTATAAAAGAGCTAAGCAATCGATTTTTTGTCTCCAATGTTGTACAAAAATGGTCATTTGCTATATGTTAGTAATAAATGTATCTGTGCTTATTTTGAGTTGTAGGGATCCTGCAGGAGTTCACACTTACCTGTCAATGTAATAAATGATAAACTGAGGTTTTGAAAAATTTGAAATTACACAGTTATTCTTGTAGTTTTTATTTAAATAACAAAGAGCAAGTAGGAATTTCAAAGATGATGGCATTATGCATAACTTACGCTATAAACTGATCTACAAATGTCATCATAATCATTGCATTATTTCCCCTTGAACTAAATGTGTAGTTCTGACTGCACATGATGTTGCAAGTTAAATAAATAGGTGTTTATTTGATAAATACAACTCTAGTGATTAAGGTAGGTATTTACAAAATTGTTTGGGTGGCAATTAGTTGCAGTATTCGAGTATAAGTTATAATAAGTATATACAAAACAAATCTGATGTTACAATAAGTAGTAAGCACTATTAAAGCTCTAGTTGGTAAAAGTAAAAATAAATTAATTTCTGTGCTTGTATAAAATAGATAGTTAATACTGCCGCATTGACTATTTAAATTGAAACGGTCACATTACCTAATCAAGAAAATACTGCAAAAAACGCCTCTTCCCCAACCTCATGTACAAACTGCTACCATATTTGAACACATTCACCACTGTATTGCGGTAGTGGATTGGATAGGCCCTGGTTTAATATTCACTGTTAACTTTAATATTGCTTAGCAAATTAACTATTTTATTGGCTAGACAAAAAACGAGGAAAAATTATACATCAGATATGTTGTACATTGTACGAAAGACAGAACATACACAAGTGCAACAATATATATATAATATGTACAATAAACTACAAAAATGTATGTTTATTCTATAGTAGTATAAAAAGTATCTACTACAATGTACAACGGGTTACACTTTTGTCAAAAAATATTAAAATAAACAGAGTCGGCATAATTGATCATGCTGAAACCAGAGCCAACTGCCTTAAAATTACAAGAAATCATAGGAAACATGTATACATATTTGTATATTTCACTATTCTTACTCATGTATTTAAATACTAGCATAAATTACTTCATTTACTTATCGAGCAATAAAAATCTCCACATAATTTAAAAACCTTGGAATTAAATGTTGATACGAGTCATATAATTAGTCAATTTCACGCTTACAACAGAGCATACACACTCTCAGTCTGTTGATACACTTTTGCTACGTCCATAAAAATCCACCGACAATATTAAAGATACAACACAGAGCATTATAAAAACCACACACTTTTCCCCGTAAGTAGAAATGCAGTCCTAAACAGTGTTTTTTGCCTACGTTTCTGTCCGTTTAATGTATCGCCACCGGACTTTGCTGCACACATACACCGACCATCGGACTGTCGTCGCGATCCGCCTGACCCGGCGTAGGACCGTTTGTTGGAGGGTTATGTTTCGGAGGCGTACTGTCCGCTACCACGTGACCCGGATACGCCGAATATGGAAGTGACGAGGGGCCGAAACCCATTAAAGGTGCTTGATACCTTGAGCGATGAGTATGTCGTGAGGGTGATGGATCACATTCCATCGCCGAGTAACTGGCAGGTTGGTATGTGTGATTTGTACAATCACGTGTACGACCTACTAAGTTTAACCCTGCAACCAAAACTTTTATTAGTAAAAGTGATGCGATTTGTTACTATTTCACTAAAGTGTACTACACTATATACAGATGATTCTAAAATGTTCCACAAATTGATTGACGGCTGAAAAATCTTTTTGTAGGTACCTCAACATGCTCACAAAATAATTCCAGTTATACACAATTTGTAACAGCAAGTAGAAATTTCTTAGAAATTACTTGTGTTGTTTATAACGACACAATATTTTTAGAATGTGTAATCTGTAACCTGTTCCTCAGCGCAACAGCAAGCTTACACTAACTTTTACTTACTGCACTCCAAGAACTAACATATTGTGTAAAGCTCCTACATTAATCATGTCTCGTAATTTTAATATGATCTGCCAGGATTATGATATATAATATACCTCTCTACCTGAAATACTTGGACAACTAATTAATAAGTTCAATAATTCTCAAAGATTTTTTTTTCTTTCATTACGCCTATTACTTACATCTCTGTGTTGTTCATTTGTACGTTTTACATAATTTATATATAATTTAGTTATGTTGCGCAATTTAATTTAATTTAATTTTCTTTCAATGCATTTTTACACATACTTAATGTTTATAATACTTATTCTTCTACTTAAGCTTAAGTATACGATTTTAGTTATACAATTTTAATTTCACTCTTGTAAACAGTGTATTGTTGTTCTATTATTGGAATATTTATTTCTGTTTGAGCAATAAAGAATTATTATTATAAAAAATAAAAAATTACTTAAAACAGAGATATTTAAGTTTTGACCTTGAAAATGAGAAATTATAGTGTATGTGTGTATTGATATTATATATACAGGCGATTTCACAAATGGCAACATTGAGCAAATAATGTAATAGGAAAAGCATGTCAATAAATCACAATGACACTAATTTATTTTCAGAAAATTACCAAAAAATAATGTTGACAAATCCATAGTGATCATTGTTTGTAAAACCGGGCTAAAGTCTCTTCTGAAGGACGCCTAATTTTATGCAACCAAAATGACTTGTTAGAACTATTCAAGATCTGGTTGTCATTAATTAATTTGAGTATTGTTGCTTTGACTTCCCTATTCTAATTTTCGTTCATGTGTGATGCATTCAACTAGTGAAAAAGTTGATTTTGTCAATTTGTATAGTGCCGGTAATAGTTTAAGGAGCATAAAAGATTTATTTTCTATGCGAAGCCAAAGCAATAATATTCAAATTAATTAATACAGCCCGATCTTTATTTGTTTCAAGAAGTTATTTTGGTTGTATAAAATTAGGCGCCCTTCAGAATATATTTTATCATTTCAAAGTCGACATAGGGAAATACAATAGGTACATGTAAACTGTAAAGATATTAATCAATATCACTATATAAATAGTCATATTTTTGTTATCTGAAAAATGCGTTGTTGTTTTGTTTTTTAATTACAGCTATGAGGAAACTACTGCCTCCCAAATTCAAAAAGATATAAGGAAAACGGTATGATAAATATAAAATATGATGCAAGGACCAAAATGTACTTTTTTTCCGGCGCCGCGTTCGTAAGAAAAAGTGACACTTTAGTCCCTTAAATGCAAGACAAAACACATTGATTTAAACCACAGAGTACAAAAAACGTTGTATTTTAGCAATAAAAGTTAAAATGTAAACCAATTCAAGCGTATGTATGATCTCAACTGAGTAGCATAATCCTCGGCATAATTTTCCTTTCGTAATTAATTTCTATTGGCTTTAAGCACACCATACCATGTCTATATAGAATCGAACGTCCACAAATATACATTTTACCTTAAGCAGTACCTTTATTCACAGAATTTCGCAAGAACACAAAGAAAAGTGTAAACTCCTATACCAAAGTATAGCCCCACTGTAGAACCCGCCAGGTTTGTGCGCTCCATCTACAGGCGAATCACTGAACTTTTCGTAAAAAAATTTCCTTTAATTGAGGGTGATCGAAAAGTAGTGCGGACAGTTCGAATTTCCTGTAAAACTAAACATTTATAAAGTTGGTAACATACCAAATGTTATTTATGTAAAAGCAGTGGTGGATCAATTCAATCACTAATGCATAAATAAACTACCTTCTAAACATGTTTGCCAATTCCTTGTAAAAAACATTAAAAACTTAAAGCGCCCAATTTAAACTGTCTGCAGTTCTTTTCGATCCCCCGATATAAGCGTGAGCTTTGTAATAAAGTGTAGAAGGCAATAACGGAAACTTATAGATTTAATTTCACAAAAAGATTAAAATTGCTCATTTTAAAAAATTTCATTAATTTATTTATTTAATATTATGCATAATAAACTAGATGCCCCTGATTTGCTATCTAAAATTAATTTTCTTGTACCATCTTATCACTAGCGTTTTAGCTTACCATTTCAGCTCTCTCAGCCACGTACTAATGATTTACGTGTAAAACCTCCAATAAACTTTGTAAAACCGGGACATATTTAATTCAACGCTAAATTGTTTATTAACGGAGATTAATCTTTAATTACTATTTTTACTATAGTTGTTTGGGTTTTTTGATTATTTTAGTTGTCCATTAACTTTTTATACCAATTTTTCTAGTTTCATTTGTATCGCCTCTATTATCTGTGTTAAATATCCTGTCATTAGAATTTGTTTTCTGTTGAGCATTAAACTATTACTATTGCTAATTTAGATCGATGAAAATTCGGTTAGGTACATCCTGCTGAATGCTGATACAACAAACGGTAAAGGAATGTTTTTAGCGCATGATCCTCACCACTCCGTTGACGCGCCCTTAAAATAATTGGGATTGAAATGTGATATTGGCATGCAGTTTTCACTAATGGTGGGTTTATACAATCAATATCATTAGTTCACTATCAAAAATCATTAGGAAATACCGAGGGAAATACCCAATAGAATCAAAGGTTTATTGCGCGTTGCTAACCAACAAAACCATCCTGAGCTTAGTGAACTATAGATCGTCTCACGTAAAAAAGGAATCGGGAGAAAGTAGTGTAACCTCCCACTAAGTTTATTGTTCATCTCAATGTCGCTGTGCTTTGAATAAAGATAGGTATAAAACTGGTAATTACTCGGGCCGTTGGAACCACCCTCTAGACTCCCAATGAATGAGCGAAGTGTTTATAACCGCATAGATGTTTATAATTTGAATGCTTATACAGTTGACCATTCAAATTATAAACATCTATGCGGTTATAAACACTTCGCTCATTCATTGGGAGTCTAGAGGGTGGTTCCAACGGCCCGAATAATTACCAGTTTTATACCTATCTTTATTCAAAGCACAGCGACATTGAGATGAACAATAAACTTAGTGGGAGGTTACACTACTTTCTCCCGATTCCTTTTTTACGTGAGACGATCTATAACGATAATGATTGTATAAACCCACCATTAATCTATAGATCAACCCCTAGGAATGACGGTGATTTTCATTTGTCTTCCTCTGCTTACATAGCAGCATCTCCTGTATTGTATGACACATTAAACAAAAATAAACAATGTCTAAATAAACTGATACTTTGGTTTTAAAGATATTAGCAAACATTATATTTATTCATAATGGCATGATTAATTCACAGTGCAGTTATCAATAAATGTAAGGAAAAAATTATCAAAAAAGCATAAGCAAAATTGTTTTAATTTTTACATGAAAAGCATCTACACAACTTCTCCAAAGAGATCTAATTAATTTAGGGTAGAGAAAAATCAAAAAGGGTAACGAAGGAATGTAGTTTTCAGAAACTGTAGCAGTGGTAATTTTGAGCATGTGTTCAGGTTTTCTTAAGTAGAATAATAATGTGGATGGGTGCTTAATAAACATCATTTTAAATATTTTCAATTGGTTAATTTTCAAAAAACTTTGATCTATCCGTCACATGCATTTTAAAGTCAGATGCGGGTCTGGATACAGTGAGTAGAGGGTAACTAAGGAATGTCACCGTCAAAGTATACTCCTTGGCGATTTTAGGTTTAATGAAAACTATACACTATCACATTTCATTCGCAGTCCATCTGGGTGAATTGTGTTAGATACGGCACCCTGTATAAGGTAAGTTTTTCAGTTTTAGTACAATTTTCAGGCCACAGCACCTTTTTGGTTTGCATCAAATTAAACACAACGGAAGGTAAAGCAACTCCTGTTGTTTCAATGTCCACATACTGCATGTGTTTACTTTGTATATAATATGTATATAAATGCTTAGACCATACAGTACAAGTTCACAGAATCATGTTCACAAACGTTCTCTTTATTTTTAACCATTATACTGATGGTGTGTTTTAAAAGATAAGTTAAAAAACTTCACGTCTAGTTTTCCAATTGCTTCAACTCTGTTGAGTAGATTTTATGTTAATGTAGAATATCGTAGATGAGGGGCAATTTCTTAACATGCAACGAAACTATGAAAATCAAAATACTAATTACCAAACGGTTACTTGGGTAGATACCTACTACATATATAAATTATATCCCCACAGTTACTATACATTCCAGTTTACTCATTCATGTTTGCACCGCAAACTGTAAAGAAAAAGATCAACATCGCTGCATGTAAATGTGACCAGTTCTTTTATCACCAGCGACTGAATATAATTCACAAATTGAAATTGAAGTTAAGTTGTCTTGGTTACTGGTTTTTTTAGTGCTATGCTATTCTAATGCACGCTCATTATAAATTGGCGATTCCCAATTTAGTTTGATCTGGCTTTACTATTTACTGCTAGACAATTATTTAGCTCAATGAAAGGTAAGAGATTTTCCTATTTTTTGGGTATAATATTTCTGTTCTCAGCTTGATATTGCCTGTGGAATCTCGCGGCTGATTAAATGCTTTGTTTACAGGGTTGCTTATTTGCTGTGTACAGAATTAGTATATCTTGAAATAATTTCTTTAGAATGACATAGACTTTTCTCTTTAAAAGCTGATTATTGTGGCGTTAGGAGTAGAGCATTTTCATATGCTTTACAGTTTTTGAGAAATAGGTAACGCAAAGCTCTAATTTATTAAATGGAAACAGTATTTCATTTCATGGTTATTACTAAATGGAGTATTTTCGCTCCTAATAATATTAAGATGAAATGAAATATTTTTGCCATTAGAAAATTAAAGCTAAAACACATTAATTTTATTCTGGTTCCTTGAGGTTTTCGATTTTTGTTATTTCCCAAAAACCATAGTGCATATCAAAATTTCTTGTGCGCCGTTGATTTCTTTCTAGAATACACTTTTCCCTTTGTCACTTTTTATATCGTTCATACGAATAAATCTTTAGATCTTTAAATATCTTTGAGATCTCAATGCTGTGCATGATAAATAAGCCATTGTGTTTAAGGTCAGGTAAATTTATGCAAGTGTTATTATTTATAGTTTTTACTGTGATGATGTCACTTTCTAGCTTGACGTAGGTCATATTTTTATTTATCTCGGTCTATTTCCGCCTTTAACATGTTATTGACTTTACCTTTCGTCACTACTTTTTTACTTTTAATTTTTGGTATAGGACTTTCTGACAATTGAGATTATACTGCCTACAACCTTATTGTTTCTCATTTTCTAATCATTCTTTAGTCAACTTTCCAAATTATTTCTCTTGCAATATTTTATTGCTTTAATGATTTTAATGAAACACCATGCATTCTATAACAATCCAATATGGAGTTCATAAGAAATAAGAAATTTGACATTTTCAGTTTTCAATGATGTCACTTGTTTTCAAAGATTTTTCAAATGCGTTTTTTTAACCACAAAAAGGGGCAATTTGCTAACTTACACTATATCTCTCACCGTTACAGAGTCACGAATTTGAACCACCCTGTACTATAAAAATGAACGAACATCTTTAAGCCCTCAAACAATTTAACAGTTACTTATGAAGTACATTGTATGTGTGTCAATGGGCGGAGTCCATTTGTTATGTGTTATACACTATGTCCATTTTTCGAGTGCCACTATGAGGATCTCACTTATCTTAAGAGATAGAAAGTTGGTTAAATGGGGGTAAAGTTGCCAATTTTCGTTCTGAATAAAAATCTGAAAAGAAATTTGAAATATCTTCAATAGTTTTGAAGATATCGCAAAAAACGGAAATTTCTGATTTTCGTTTTTAATTTTTTTGTATTAAACTAATCGCAGTAGACATTTCTAATTAACACATTATTCGAACACTTTTTAATGGAGATTTCAAATATGGCATCCTATTTTTAATAACTTTGAAGATGACGGAGGAACACGTGTCAACTTTAGTTTTTCTTATGGGCGCCATTTTGAATTTTCACATTTTGAGATTACGTCTTTTTTTTCTCTTTACAACGATATATCACACATGATGGTAGTTCAGTATCATGTATCACATTTTTCCTAAAAATACAATTTTTAATTTTTTTGGAAGAGTGCTTTGGAAAAACGAAACATTCTTTTGTTGTAAACAAAAGTTTGACAGTTTGATCCATCTGTCTGGTTGCGGCGTTGTCAAAGAAGTAGACATTCGATTTTCATCTGAACAGAATTGAACCTTCGTTATGCAAAAAAATTATAATTAAAATTTGAACAAAATCCATCACAACATGTGTTCAAATTGTCCACCTCCTAATTCTGAGGACAGCGCCACTCTCTTCCTAAGATTTGCTATGGCTCTTGAAATTGACACATCCCTTCTTCTAATCTTGTGCCCACAATTCTATGACGAAGTTCATCAAGATCGGCTGGCAATGTTTTGTAAATTTCATTTTTCATTGTTCCCCACAAAAAATAGTCAAAGGAAAACAGGTTAGGTGACCGCGCCCGCCAGCGTACGGTCACCATTATTAGTAATAACATGATTGGGGAGCATAAAATTTATCACACCGTTTGCATTAAGCGTTTGAAATGTAGTAATGCAATGCAATTACAAAATACAGAATGTCAGTGCCAAATGCGTGCGCATGACTTATTTTGGTTGCATAAAGTTAGGCGCCCTTCAGAGGAGATTTTGTCCGCCTTTGGGAAATTCCGACCACGTTCGTGGTTTTCGCCGTTCCCGTGGATACTTTGGGAAATTCTTTCGGAGTACAATGTAACGCTTTCAAAAAAACCTACGTTCTAAATGTCAAGTCTCTTTTCGACTGTAAAACATAACATTCTGTTTTTTTTTCTGTTCCCGTTCGCGTGAGAATTACGGAAAACGTTTTACTAACTCAGACGAAGGTTGTATCGCCTATCCCGACGAACCACGTATATATGGATACATTTCCTTATAATCCCATTACAGTGTGCACAGTTTAAATCCTTGTTTGAGGTTGATTTTTTCATTTAACGGTTGGTAGGTAGGAGTGAAAACATTTGATTTTACGGTTGGCGCCGTTAGTTCTCTTATTTACTTTTATGATTTATTTATTTATTTATTTATTTATATTTCTCTGATTTTTCCTGTTATATGAAGCGAAGACGAATCCAACAAATCAATGATCATGAAAATCGGTTCAGCCGTTCTTGAGTTATAAGTCACTTTGTTTTATATACAGGGTGAAAATTTTGTCTGGAGAACTGAATATATCTTCAAAACAATATTTGAAAAAAAAAAGCTTTTTATGATATCCAGAAATATAAAAAGTTTGCTAGCAATCGACGTACTTTAAATTTGTGGTCAGTGGCGTACTTCTGCATGGTTAAGGGGGCATATTTTTTTAGCGTACTTTCCTCAAAGTGAAAAATCGCTACTGGCTGCACTTTGACGTCCGTCCGTTCGTCTGTTCGTCACACGCACTCCTAAACCACTGAACCGATTTTGGCGATATAGGACTCATTTGAAAGGACTTGGTCCAAGGATTCCGTGCATATCCATATTTTTTGATTTGAAGATGTAGGTAATCAGTGGTCCGTACAAAATTTTCAAGCCTGTATATAGATTTAAAACGAATGCGCTATTTCTATTTTACATTGAATTGATTTTTATCCACAATTTCATTTCATCATAACAAAATATACAAGGTGCTTGCTCCATTACAAAAATATATCCTCTTGAATATCTCAATTACACTACGTTCCACTGTTTGGCTGATTTCACTGCCGTATCTAGATAAAATTGCTTCAAATTTGCTAATTGACCCGAATTTGTAGCTCCGTTAATATAAAACAATGTTCAAGAACCAGCACATGCACAAAAGAAAACGGTGCCTATCTGGCTAAAGTGAAGTCAAGAAAATTCCAACCAGATGCAGAGAATAACTTGGTACATACTGGCATCAGCAGTTTCCTTCTTTCATAGCAACTTTTGAGAACCCAAGATCAGAGTAACATAAACAATCTATTCCATATCAAGTGTTGGAGAAATTCAAGATGAAACTAGTCGATTAGTTAGCACTTGGTCTATGTAAGAGTCATTAATTTTGTCAGTGACTCGACTATACTATACCTACAAATTTCATCATTGTTCTGTAGCAATCATATACAGGGTAAGTATAAAGTCTCGCAACATTCGATTATATCTTCGTTATTTATGAAGCGATTTTTTTACAATTGGTGTGCTTACACAACAAATATTAATGCATTTTATAATCATGATGATTTTTGAATTGTTTATTCATGTAACTTATTATCTATTACCATAGAGTTAGTATTACTTAGAATTACTTTCATGCGCGTTATTTCTTTTTTCTTTTGTTTGTTACTTTCATTGTTACTGTTCTACTTTCTCAAATTATTATAAGTTTAACTTTTTCCATTTGTCCTCTAATTGGATCTTTTATGTATCTGTTGGGCAAATATATATTATTATTATTATAAATATCTTCGACGACTGGTTTAGCCTGAAAACAACCTTAACTTTTTGTTTTTAAATGTATCACCCTGTATATTTTATTGTAATCAGACGCAGAATAAAATTCTACATAAGAACGGTTTTTTGTTTTATTCGAAAAGTAATAAAAAAATAAATAATTGCTATTTTATTTATACTGTGTCTTAAATTATCCTCATCGCAAATGTGAAAGGTAGAACTTTTTTCAAAAGGTCAGAAAATTTTCAATTCAATGTGCAGACATGGTTTGAATGAAGCAACCGTTAAGTATAGTAACTGTGCACCTAATTTGACTGTGAGTCAAATCTAAATAACACTAAGGATTGCAAATAAAAAACAAAAAGCACATTGCTAATAAAGAAATAAAAAAAAATTTATTAAATATGTGAATGAAATTTAATCAAAACTAAAAAAGCGTGATAATGTTATGCTTGCTATTCTACAGGGGAAGAATATATGTTAGTACCTGTGTAAATAAGTGCTGTTGCGGTTCGTCACCGCACATCTACGTTAGTCATCGCTGCATTCCGGATATGTCTGCGTACACAACACAATTTAAATCCCTTAATTTGTTTGCCTACTAAATTAAAGAAACACAAAAATGTGATGACTAATGACATGGTCGCAATAGCAAAATAAAATAGCGATAATATTACTCGTAACAATATGTTAAATACATACCGTGTTGACAAGTTGAAGTCGACAAATCAAGATTGACAACAGCTGGACTTGAGCTCGTACTACTCGCAGTATTAGTGCCTTCGTCTGTAGTTCGTTTAAAAAAGTTATGTTGTAACGCATAATAGGGTGTTATTCGGGTTTTAGGATCATAATCTAACATTCGTAAAATCAGATCTTTAAATTTAAGATAATCACTTGTCGAGTGTCCTAATTCACCACTTCTTCGACCGCCCGGGCCACCATTTTCAACACCTAGGATGTCGTGTAACTTCTTTGTTCCCGGTAACTTATACTTCTTCCCGTCCTTAGACCTTTTCAACTCGTATCTGCGGACATAGACACTTAGATAACAACCAGTTTAACTTACGTCGCTTACTTTGAATCGAAAGGGAATTTATCAAAAAATTTCCTCGTCTTCGTAGCCCTATCTAACAGCGTTTTCGGCGGCATTCCTAATACTTCTATAATTTTACTCATTTGGTCCACTTCGTTGGCACCACTAAACAAAGGTTCGCCCGTATGCATTTCTACTAGTATGCAGCCTAAAGACCACATGTCTATCGCTAAATCGTATGGAATTCCTAGTAGAACCTCGGGTGATCGGTAAAACCTAGACTGTATGTATTGGTATATCTGAAACAACGCAATCAGTCGGTCATCTTGTACAACAACACGAAATAATTACCCTCTGTCCTAGCTGACACGAACTCCCAAAGTCGACAATCTTAATCGCCGACCTCTTGGGATTACACAGAAGGATGTTTTCCGGTTTTAAGTCACAGTGAATAATGCTAAGTTCGGGCGTCGAAAGGAACAGTAGAGCCGTGCAGAGTTGTTGCGCAAATTTCCTCGTTAAGTTAAGCGAGACACCTCGGAAATTCGTATTTCGAAGAAGGTCGTAGAGGTTGTATGAGAGAAGTTCGAAAACAAGGCAGAGGTGATTTCGCCACATAAAGTGTCTTTTTAATTTTACTGAAAGCAGACAAACAGAATAATTAGCTACACGTAAACTTTAATTCAAAACTAAGTTGTGTGTGATGTGTGACTAGTCACAAAGAAGCTTATATGATAATGAGACAAAGTTGTCTCCACTTATAATTAGCAATTATTCATTCTATCAGAAAATGTACACACAGAAGGCGTGTCTTGTAAATCGAATTCTAGGGGTTTTTAGGTGATGGAGTACACACAACTTACTTTGAATTGAACTAGGTATATATACTTTTTTTTAGCATTTTACCTCTGAACATACAAATCTCCTATGTCCCATTTTCAAATATACAAGTTAAATACCCCTTAAGATATGCAACCAATCTTACCTACTTTCATCTTTTTCAAATGGTTTCCAATAAACGTCAATATCAGTAATGTATACAAAAGAAGAAAAAATGGAAATTTTACAGATGTATTTCAATAATCACGGGACTTATTTACTGCTAAATATCCCGATAAGCAAATTCCCAATTGACAAGAGCATTAAAAATTTCATTTTGATGGTTGAATTGTTAATGAACGTTACACCAGAAAAAAAACTTGTCATGTTTTAATTGTTGATGTTAAATATTTTAGCGTATGTAAAAGAAAATCCACGGACTCAATTCGACAATTCAAAGCAAATGAGTAAAATTCCAGTAATGAAAAGACACTTTTTGTAATTTCGATATCAAATACTTAAATTTAGTTGGCGGTTTCAGTTTTAAAACAGCCGTCATTTAGCCACAAGTGTCACAGTTAATAAATCGGATCTGCCGAATACGTATCTCAAATTGATCTAAAATAACTACAGTTTCTTTTGTTTACACTTTACACTGTTGTCAAAGTGGTATGTAAGGTTGGTTGCATAACTGTCATGCATATGTTACAATTTACGCACTGTATGACAAGACAGAGCTTGGTACAGCAAACTCCAAACAGTTTTCAAATCCCCTGGGCACTAAACCCTTTGAATTTCATAATACCAAGTTACATTGCCAAGAAATGAAGCATTTTAGACCTTGTTCATACATTACAGGCAAGCACTTGGAGACGTTTGGATCATGCTGTAGAAGTCTGTTCCAACTAAAATAACCTATAATTATCATGAAGCTATGAAAAATTCAGTACAAAGGGATTACCTATGAAAAACGAAAATTAAAAATCAAAAGAATGAACCATTCCCTGCTTAATGGCCTCTGCGATGACTAAGTGTGCTAGGGCCACTTAATTTAGCATGGGCGGTGTCTGGAACAAATTCCAGAGAGGTGCAGGACTACGCTCCTTAATCATCCTTATTCCTTACTAAGAATCAATCAGCCCTGTGATGTATCACTAACATTAAACTTAAAGGCGGCTCCACACGCAACGGAAAAACCGAAGGCATGCCTCGAGGCGCAAGACCTCAAGGAAAACCTCTATGTGTGTATGGAGAATTCTGTTGAGGTTTTCCTGCGCATCTGACGCCTGGAGGCCGGAAATTTCAATACAAAATCTCATTCGATTTGCCTCTTCTTTTATAGCGCCCCAAGGCCGATCGTATTGTGTGGATCGGTGGGAGGTAGGCCTTGAGGCGATTCCCTTATACCCTATACGTATACCGTGTGTTAACCACCAAACCGGGCCATAGACACATTTAAAATTATACAATAAGAAATATGAGTTTCCATATGAAATATATATTTTGTTTAATGTCATATTGACACACGGTGTAGTTTTGTGTGAAAAGAGGTCCGTTGCATCAAGTTTTCATATAGTCATGGCCCGTGCAAAGCAAAAACAAGAGGAATTTATAGCCAGAAATCGTAATGTGGCACTCAATCTTTCATGAGGTGTAATTGCGGTCCTCATTATGGTGTCCTTTTTGTAAATGATCGACGTCACCAATGATAAGAGCCTTAAGTATGTGTCCTCATCCATCCGCAAATAATTGTGCCAATCTTTCGGACTGAACCTCAGGTCTTTTAATAAATTTACATGGAAGTAACATTTCCTTTTCTGTAACCAGTCTTTAGTCCAGAACTTTCGCGTCACTCTTTTTTAGTACTTTCGACAGCTAACAATAATCCAACAACAGGAAGAACGTTATCTGTCGACGTCATTTTTGCGCGAAACTGGCGTGCCTTAAGGCTGGCCTTCGTATATTCCGTAGTGTGTGGAGACCCCCCATAATTTAGGTTCGCCTCAAGGCCCGTCGCCCCGAGGCAAGCCTTCGGTTTTTCCGTTGCGTGTGGAGCCGCCTTAACGCGCAGGTTTGGCCGGCCCGTGTGGCGCAGTTCAGTTAAAGCTGAACTGTGGTGCTAAGGGTCCCTGGTTCAAATCCGGGTTCGGGCATGGATATTTGTAAATGTAAAGTGGGTTGGGTTGATAGAGCAGCCTTGTCTGAAACCCCGCCCACTCAAAAATAAAGGCAACATAAAATTAAAATAAATAAAATCTGTCAAAATGTAATCACAGGACTGAATAAATGTTGCTACTAATGAACAAATTACCTAATTAATAGAAAAAACTATGTTTTGTTTCCTGTTCTTTTTAAATTCTGTTGCTAATTTTAGATAGTTTTCATAAGTCGCGAAGGACTTACTTTGGAAGCGGATAGAGAATATGGCACAAATAACAGGTGGGTAGGATATTGTAGCCCACCCGCGACTGCAGTGTATGGTGTGGTGTATCTCAGCTGTTTTTAAAGATAGAGATTTGCGGTTTTCACAACCCTGTGCCGCTTTTTGAGAAACTTTTAATACCACGAACAGCATCAATCTAGCTATGTTTGTTTCTGAAATACAAAGTGAACATGAAAGTTTGACTTTTTGGGACGTTATCATATCTTACTACCCATATAAGATAGAAAAAAGGTAAAAACGGCCATTTTACATATTCTTACGTAAAATCCAGTGGCGTAGTCAAAAAAATTTGTAGATCGCCGTTTCTGAGATTTGAATCAAAGTTGGTATGTTTTAAATGTAACACCCTGTACTTATATCTTAATGCATTCTTGACCGTCAGTGATTTTTATTGATAGGTACTTATCGTTATAATCTTATAGTAAAATAAACATAACAAAATCTCCACGAATCCATGTCCTACTATTTAAAAACCGTAAAAAATAAGACTAACCGGAAATTATGTGGTCGCTTTTTTCTACAGTCATCCCAACATGAAATAGTTGGTATACCCATACAATGAAAATCTTATACTCTGGGGGGTATTCCATGTCCCCCAGACCCTCTGGTTAAACTCTAAGCCCTGAAGAGGACTCTTGTGATACTTTAATAAGGGACTGGGACCTTCTTTTCTTAACAAGTACATTCCATACTTCGCGAGATCGTGGTCTGTTCAATATTATTTTCTCAGAAATATTGATGCGAGTACTAACGGTAAACATTTTTGGCTGAGAATGTATACACATACGGATAAAAATATTGTATTCTGTGTTCCGTTTTTATTTAAAACTCTAAGCCCTGACGCTTGATGGCTAATATTAAAAAAATATAGATATGCAGGGTGTTCATTTGAAAAATTTCAACTTTCGGTCAAAACATTTGTTCACTACGCCACTGGATTCTACATAAAAATATGTAAAATAGACGCTTTACCTATGATAGCATCCCAAAAAATCAAACTTTTCGTTTTCACCCTGTGTCTCAAAAACAACCGTAGCCAGATTGATTCTGTGTGTGGTATTAAAAATCTCACAAAAAACTGGCAGAATGAGTGGTGAAAACCGCAAATCTCCATCTTTAAAAACAACTGAAACACTACAGTCTTAATCAAAATAGAACACACGGTACCGGGTACAAATGTACAATAAAGCCATAAGGAGAGCAAAGAGCAAAATAACGCCCGAAACGGCAAGACTTCAAAGGAACACAAAGATAGGAAACCTTTAGAATAGTGATGGGAGTTACACGGAAAACGATAAAAAACACATTGGAGCAAAAAATTTAATATTCAACGCTTTTCAGTTCTAATATTCATTAATTAAGGGTAGTTTATATTAGCTCTTCATGCAAAATTAAAATTTCTTTCAACGTATGGAGAAATACACAAAACGTTAATTGAAAGCAATGATTTATTGAAAACCCCAAAAACCTGATGTTTTTTTTTCTTATTTGAACATTAGTCAAATCATTTTGATGATTTGTCAATTTTTAAATTTCGTTGTTATTTATTACTTGAAATCAAAATGAAATCAAATATGAAAACCGTTCTCAAGTTCGATAAATTTTTGGAAATCGCTCAAACACAGTAAAACCCCCTCATTTATTGTTTTGAAAGGTACATATTTTATCAATACAAATTAAATCAACACATTTATGCCAGTGAAACAGCCAGAAACTGTCAGTTGAACACAATAAAATTGAATACCATTTGGTCATGTGATGGTTTTCTTTTTATGGGGTATTTATGCGTCCTAGTCCACGCTTATAAGCTGGTGTTCAAACATTTTTTCAAAAAACGATCCTTCATTTGGTATCAAGTCATAGAACGGTTCTTTTTTTATTAGACCCCAAGCTCAAATCTATATACATACTTTTTGGCCCGACAGTTGACGTTCGAATTTTAGCAAAGAAGTTCTAATATTCTCAGCAGTTATTATACAATTCAAAGCGGCAAAGGGACGCATTTACTAATCTCTGCAACATGTAATGTGGATGTTCCCACTAGTGTAATTAATTACAATAATTAAATAAAAAAAATTGTTCTTAGAACAAAGATGAATAATTTAGCTGAAGTCGCCCTGGACCCATTTGTTGCTTTGGGGGGGGGGGGGGGCAGTGGAGTGAAAAATTAACCGGGCCGAGAAATTGCTAGCATACGAGTAATTATAAAAAAATTTTTACAATTTCACCATTGACATTTTTTACTCAAAAGTCATCCCCGCTTCGCCCGTATCGCCGCCTCTGGGGAATTTCGAAGGCAGATCTGGATTCGGTTATCGCGAAAACTCCGAGTAACGATTTCCGAGCAATGTCTAGTACCACCTCCCGGTTACTTTTTTCACAGAATCTGTTATCAGAATTTCCATACAAACCCTAGCTAGATAGTACAGGTTACCGTTACAACTTTCTTATTTCTTATGAGCGCCCTATTGGATTTTTACAAAATGAGATGTGGCAAAAAAAGAAAAATAATGACGTGTCACGCTCTTTTACATGAATTTATAAGAAACATTTCAAAATCAAATGTTTAACATTCATTTCCCAACAAAACATCAACGGGTAACTAGATCTTGCTGAATCAACATCGCTATGACGGCGATGCATTGTCATGAATTCCTTTTTTTTAGTCGCTTTTTTTTTAACAGATTCACATTCTCCGAAAAAAGTGCCCATAGAAAGTGGTAATGGAAACCGTTCATTTTCGGCCGTTTTAGCTAGGAAAAATGAAATTTGACATTTTCTGTTATTTTCACAGATTTTAAAAAATGTTAAATGCGTTTTCCAAGCATGTTTATGCTGCCCAAGCTCTGAATAAAATAGCGTCAACCAAAAGCTTCCTTGTAAGTTAATCACAGAAACTATTTGAATACACAGGATGGATGAAACAAAACTAGACAATTGGCAAAGAACGTCTTAACCTTGTTATTTTAATGTATAGAAAAACAACAGTATTCTTCTATTCTTTCTTTCATGTGTATCTTATTCTTTTGTCACAAGTAATATTTGTAATTATACAGGGTGCGTTCACAAAGTATGGCGCCAAAAAGGTATTTTTTATGGAACCCCTTGCATTTGAATACATTTTTTATTTCTACATGTAATTGTACAAATTTGTTATTTTGTGGGTTAATATACGAGGATACTTTTAAAGATAATTTAATTTATAACAAAAGTTTCATTTGCAAGCGTCAGTTTATTGTCAAAATGATTTTGATTCCAGGCTCCATCTTTTATCCTGGGTAAAATAAAAGTCGAACAAATATTACATCTACTATGAAACAATTAAAAATAAAATTTGCAGGGTGTTTTATTTGTAGGTTCAAAGTTACAAAACTTCATATTAAAAATTCTCACTTTTTTCAAATAGAACACCCTGTATTCACGCTTTGTCACAGCGCTCTACTCTGTGAACGCTCCCTGTATAACTCAAAATATTTTTAAAATGTCGAGAATATTTAACCATATCATAATACAACAGCACTTTATCGAAAAATCTTATCTTCAAGGCATTAAGTTACTCCGATAAATCCTTGACTCACAGAAAAAGTTAATATACTATTTTATCATGCCAAAATACACACTTTTCCCAGCTCTTAACTATTGAAAAACAATGTACATAAAAACATTGTAAGAACAATACTGTCGAATCTAGTTAAAAAGGAAACATTGCTGCGATTGTACGATTAATTTGTTCAATTCATCCATCCCGTCATATTTCAGTCATCAAGTTTTTAAATATTTGAAATTTCTGCATTCATAAAAACACAAAGGTGGCTAATATCACCACCCACACTTACCTATATAATACTTATTTTCAACATCTGCCCTATTCATCATCTCGAGAAGCTTCACTTCGATTTGGGCTTGGTTTAGGAAGGGTTTCTTATTTTTAATTATTTTAATCGCGACGTGGCACTGCTCTTCGTGATCAAACGCTTTCACCACTTGTCCGAAAGAGCCTTTTCCTATTAAAGAGTCAATTTCATACCTATCGAGGAACTTTTCACCATTCTTAACGATATAGTCATGATTATCATCGTCATAACCATCATTATATAACTTCCTCTCTTTTTTATGTGAGCTATCTTCTCCCTGCGTTTGGGTCGCTCTCCTCTTCTTTTTGGCATAGTACACCTGCAAACAAAACATATGTGTAAGTAACAATTTCAATTCAACCCGTACACTATTTTGTTGGGTGTGAGTTTTCAGGTATATGTATGAGAGAATAGTTCCTATGGCAGCGCATATATAAATACCAGAAACCTCCATACTTGTACGAAATATTGCAACTATAGCTAGCTTATCTGTTCGTTAAGTTTAAGTAGGTATCAAAAGTAAACAAATTATCTTTTATTTCCACGCAATCAGTGTCAATGTCAAACACCAAACCCAATATAAAAGATTACAGTAAAGGAATGCTTCAATCTGTCTCATGGCTGGGTATTGTTATCATCTTCCACTTTTTTGCGAAATGATCGGCAGACTGCTCAATGCTAGCTTTCAGGTCCCACAAGCCAGCAGAGCCATTTTAGAAAAATGGACGAAATACATCAGAATTATAGGCTGATTATAGGCCATTTTTGGACACTTGAACAAATTTTCAGGCGGCATCCTTTAAAGAAAAAAACTATGGCTCTGCTGGCTAAAGACGAAGCTAGCTGACCACTTGTGAGATTTGCTTCGAAAGCGAAAAATTCAGATCACAAAATTATAGGCTATTTATAGGCTTTTTCTAGACACTACAACAAATTTTCAGGCGGCATCCTTTAAACAAAAAAACTATGATTTTGCTGGCTAAAGAAGAAGCTAGCTGATCACATGTGCGATACGTTATGCGCATGCCCAAAATTGTTGCCTTGTAATTAATATCGATCCATTAACAGTGACTGTATAAAGACAGTGTGGTCATATGCTCTATATCCGCCATGTTTTTCCCATATTCTTCATTGAGCTGATCGGTTTAATTGAATTGGTAGATTTTGGCATTTTTCTATGGTTACAATATTATTGCCACAACTGTTTGTGACTTGATCACCTTGGATTCCAAGTTAATTTCCGCCAACCCGATTTATTTGATTAAAATATGGCGGATATCCCACCTACCAATCAAAAAACAACACCAAAGTATGACCAAACTGCCTCTATACAGTAGGTATACAGTCACTGTAGATCCATTATAAGTCACTAAATATAGAAAGTACCGCAATCCATTGAGCCCGTGTGTTAGAGAGAGAACGCATGTTTTTTGCCCAAAAATTGCGGAAGTTACCAGATTCTAGTAACTTTAATGTTAGAGATTGTTCCACCTGTTTGGAGACATCTGTCAAGTAGGTATTTGAAATTTGAATTTTTTTTACTAATAAAGCAAATATATAGCAAGTTGTTGTGTTTCAGGTTTTAAAAAAAGTAATGTTAAAAGTGTCTTAGTTGTCTATGCATCTTCTCTTATATTATAGGAGAAGAAAAGTTGAAACGATATTCCTAAATTGGAAAGAAGTACAAAAAAAAATTAAAATTATTCGTCTCATTATATTATTAACGAACCTCGAGATCGTTTATAATTTTGTATTGCTGCCTGTCTGTGCGTCTGTCTGTCAGTGTGTACGATAACTTTGTGTAGAAATGTCCGATCGCTTTAAAAAATGATATACACATGTTCTTCAGGATATAACAAAGTTCGCAATTGTTTTTCGGCTACGTAGACCAACGGGCCAAAATGTTACAGACCAAAAACTGCGCAAACCTCCAAAAAGGGTTTGTAACTCTTGTTACAAAGAACATATGAATGTCCGGTTTGTTAGTAAATATTCCTTAAACTTCAGGCAACTATGCAGATGCAAACAAATACTGCGCATGCGCATAACAACTTTTGTATTTGCGCAATCCTAATTTTTTATTTGTTAATATATTTAAATGAAATTCTGTATCTAGGCACCTCGAATAAAAGAGAAACTAATGCCAAATCAAAAAAATTGTTTTGCGCATGCGCAGTCGGTTTTCTTTTATTTGTTAAGGTATTTAAATGAAATGTTGTATTCAGGCACCTCAAACAAAAGTAAAAGTAAATTCCATTTCAAAAAATTTGTGTTACAGGCTATGCTGATCAGGTGGGACAGAATCAACCCCTTAGGGTGTATTGTAAAAATGAAGTGTGAAGATCTCGAGGATCGTTTGGTATTCAGTTGTATCGGATTTTTGAAATATAAGTTAGAGTTTAAATAAATATATTAATTGGGCGAAAGCCCGTTGAGAGCCCAGAACAAGAGAGGGACAATAAATAGGGAATAAATAAATAATTTTTATTTATCCACTACATCTCCGAGAGGGGCAAAATCAAACTGATCTGGATGATAGTTTTTTTTTGTTTAAAGGATGCCGCCTGAAAATTTGTTGTAGTGTCTAAAGCCTGTAAATAGCCTATAATTTTGTGATCTGAATTTTTCGTCTTCGAAGCAAATCGCAAATGTGGTCAGCTAGCTTCTTCTTTAGCCAGCAAAATCATAGTTTTTTTGTTTAAAGGATGCCGCCTGAAAATTTGTTGTAGTGTCTAAAAAAAGCCTATAAATAGCCTATAATTTTGTGATCTGAATTTTTCGCCTTCGAAGCAAATCTCACAAGTGGTCAGCTAGCTGCGTCTTTAGCCAGCAGAGCCATAGTTTTTTTCTTTAAAGGATGCCGCCTGAAAATTTGTTCAAGTGTCCAAAAAGGGCGTATAATCAGCCTATAATTCTGATGTATTTCGTCCTTCATTTTTCTAAAATGGCTCTGCTGGCTTGTGGGACCTCTAGCTTTCTTATTTCTAGATATTTTTTGAAATTTTAACCACGTTTCTATTAAAGGCAAACATATCGCATATTGTAAAAATCAGATGTGCGCATGAAGTGCCACCTTTTAAAGACATCATGAAATGTAGAACCATATACTTATGCTTCTAGTAAAGAAAAACATAGCTCACATACCTATGGCCTTTTGGGAAATACTGATCAATGAATGGAAAAATGCGCTAAGTTACTCACCTTATGGCGAAAACCTTTTTACTTGTATTTCTGATCATTACTTTTTAAATCCGCCACAGCGTCACTCTTAAATTTTCAATGCGATTTAATTTAGAGGTATTCTCCTCAACTTCTCGCAAGTTTCCCTCAAGTAATTGTCACGCCTTTCTCAACTTCAATTTGCCTTCAAATTCCTCTTAAGTTCCCTCCACGGTTGCGAATTCCTCTCAAATTCTTCTCAAGTGATCAAATTCCCCGCATGCTTCTCAAATTATCCTCAAATTACCTTCACGTTCATCTGAAGCTTTTACAAAATTCTTCCTCTCAAGTTCTTGCCAAGTTACCTCAATTTGTTCTCAAGCACCCTTGCCCTCTCAAGCTCCAAATGCGTGTGAAATACCTCAATTTTCCCTTAAGATCCAATGTTCCTCTCAATTTCATCCCAAGTTACTACTTATTTAAAGTTGCCCCAAGTTCCCCCTTGTGATTTCACGGGTAAAGTCATACGTTCATTTAAAATCCCAACAAGAGGGAAATTGGAAATTGAAAAAAAGTGAGCCACACTTGCGCTGTCAAAAACGCCTGCTGCCTTAGCACCTGCGTCAGATAGCGCAAAATTTACATTTTTTTTATAACAAAATGGAGTAGCAACCCTATACTCGCTGCCCGAACAAACATCATCAGCACAAGATCAATAATAACAAGTATTTCTGATGAAGGAAGATATCAGAAAATACATTTTACCATCAGACGGGCGGACGGAATTGACGCAGGTAGACTATTTTTCATTAAAATAAAAAAAAAGATTGAAATTAAAACATCAGAAAATTAAAGCAGTCACCAGGAACATTATTGATAACCTGATAAACCCCCCCCCCCCTCACTCCCCAAAAACATTTATATGTAATTTCCTAGTAAATTTTATAACGAAGCACAGGTTTTACGCCTTGAATTTACCAGTTTTAGTGATCCCTCTGTAGATAAACGCCCGGTATCTAGAGGCGCTTCGTTACGAAAAGTATTTATGTTGGTTCTAGGAGCTGAAGATGGAAGTAAAGGTAGTTAATTGGCTGTCTGCAACCGTTCGCGTCAAGATATTTCAATTGTCTTTGATGCGTCCGAAAGCTCTTGTCATTTAGAAGACGAGGACGAATTAATATTTTCAAATTTCAGCTCTGTTAAGCAATTATTTAGATGATTTTGGTTACCTGTGTTAATTTAAAATGAGCATTAAAACTGTAAGGTCGTGCACGTTTATCAGGTTGACAAGAGACCTGTATGCAGACCTGAGAAATTTCAATTAACAATAGGTGTTAATTGGACTACCGACTTTAGAAGTTTTAATTCGGTCAATTAAGTAAGTGCAATTAACAGTATGTATGTTTTACAGTAAACAGCATCCGGTTAAGTCGCGAGGGGTATTAAAAGAAGCGCTGTTAATTAATTTGAATGTTAAGACAATATACAGATTTTTAGAACGTCCGCAGGCCGCACATTAATTAAAGAAATTTTAATTTTTGGATGTTCTTATCCGAATAGGCTGTGTCGGCTGGAAAACCGTCGCAACTATACGGTATTTAAATAATCAAAATTGTTGACTTTGGTGTTTTAACCGAAACGTAAGATCATTTCGGCATTTTACACTTCTTCTTCAAGTCACATTGTTGTTTTGAATTTTTACGTAAATTTATTTTGCATTCATACCGTTTAATTTTTGCTTTTACATTAAGTTTGCCACACTGTATCTACAGATTTTGCTTTTTCTTACACACCGCTCCGTTTAAATGCAATTTGTTACTTTTTGTTCCATTGTTTCGCTTTCATGCTTTCCCGTAGAGACCGCTACCCAATCCGATTATTTACTGTTCCCACTTAGGGAAATTGCTGTGCGCTTTAATTTTGTTTTAGCATTCACCAATAGCCGCTCACTGCTTGCCCTCTAGAATTCCTGGAGCTGCCGTTTCCTCCGAAGCTTCTGAGACCGATCCGACAAACCATTCCCACCCCGATCTGGATCAGGAGCATGGTTACAGTATCCTTTGGTGGCGCTCGAGGTGACCGTTCCGTCGTTATAACCGCTTTAACCCTGTCCTAAGGATTGTAACCTCCACAAATGTTTAAATGGAAAATGGACCATAA